GAAACACAGCTCTCTTTTAGCTTTTTCACCACTTTGTTGACTTGGAATTAAAGTTTTGTAAATATATTTAGGAATTTAAGTCTTGTATCTTGATTTTTCTTTAATGTAATACTTTTGACGACTCTCAGTAGAAGACATTCATTTTCATTTTAGGAAAACTAAGAAATGAGAAGTGCAGTTATTATTAATTTGTTTAATGACCCTGTAGCCACATTGCTCCCATGAAAACAGCCTGTATTACTGTAGTGCACTTCTGAATGAACATTTTAGAATTAATTTATCTTATCTGTGACTAATTGGGAGCAACAAATAAGTATTCATTAAATAAGAAAAATAGATCTTGAGGTTTTTGAAGGCCACCCGAAGAACTTAATTTTAATTTAAAATCACTCATACTTTATTTATTTATGCAAGACAACTAGGAATGATCCTGGAGTATTATGCTCAATAACAATACAAATACTTTTCAGAATATAATAAGGGAAAATGGATGGAGATGTGTTTGATTTTGTGATGCATTTTGCTACTTTCCTGTGAGCTGAAATGTCTTTAATTTTATTCTTATTTATTAAAAATAATTCCTCTGCTGAGTTTGTTTTACAGTTTTTTAGTATGAGGAGGCTTGAAATGTCACATCAACTCTCAGAATCCCCCAGCCAGCAAGGCTATATTTCTAGGAATTGTAGTACCAAAAAGATACAACTCTGAACTCTTATCACATAGAAGCTATGCGAAAGTTTTATTGGACACACATTGGGAGTTCCTTATTGTTTTGGGCTAGCAAAAGGACTTCTTAATATATCAAAGACTACCAACAAATTTCTCCTGAGATCCAGTGGAGGATCACAGTTGCTTTATTAGGATTCATTCGCAAATTATCTTTTAGTTGCTTTTCTGCTTCTGTCCACCTTGCGCTGATGGCAATCTGAATCAACTCTGAAACTGAACAGTTGTTACCCCAAAGTCTTCTACCAGGGGCCCTAAAGTCCCTGTCTGTACTGATTGATAATGAATTGCTCATGTCCTAGTTGTCACATCTGCGATGTTTTCTAGAAAGATTGAAGCACAATTACCAAAACACTAGACCAAAGACAAAGAATCTCTTTTTCTTTGCTGTAAATGCATTATTTCAGAAATGACCTCATTACCTCTGAGGATGCTTGCCATAGATGCAGGCGAAACGTCAGGAGAAAAATTGCCTCCAGAACATGGCCATATAGCCCGGAAAAACCTACAACAACCCAATCTTATGAAGGTCGTATCCAAGCAAGGAATGGATTTGAAGGCTGTTTGGGATAGTTGTTTTTTCTCCATGCCAGAAAAGGTTATATAAACCTCTAAGATTTAACCTCTTGGGGGAACTTTCAATTTTTGAAGAATTTGAACACCTTATCCAGAATTCAAAAATCTGAAATACTTCAGAATCCAAAATTGTCCAAGTATGTGGCTGAGATTGTGACAACTTTGCTTTCTGATGGTACACACAGAGGTTTCTTTCAGGCACAAAATTATTAAAATATTACATATAACATAACTGAATGCTGTATTTCTACTTGGGACCCATCTTACAGGATACCTAATAATGTACTGATATGTAAATACAGGTAATCTAAAACATTTCTAATCCAAAACATTTGGGATAAGAGACACACAACCTTTACTATGAGTTTAATCATCTGGATAGAGGGGAAATTCTATTTAAAAATCAGGTGCTGGATAAAATGAAACTGATCTTTCCACCCCACTGTGAAAAGGAGCAGAGGAAAAAGTATGTGGAGTCATCCGCTTCAGAGAAAAACATTCTTTTCCCTGCCTCCTCTTCCCTGCTTCATAGGCTTGTGAAAAAGGTAGTGATCACCTTGGCCTGATCTCTGAACAATTTTGCAAGAAGGGCAAGGAGCACTGACTGCCTATTCCTGCATCAAACCTTAGTGTGAATTGACTAGCACTGACAGATGACTTCCATGTCATTAAGACAGTGAATTCACCCAGGGTTTTAGTGCAAAAAATTAAAGCAGTTATACAGTATTTTTCAATAGCTTTCAGCACCTTGACCAGCTCTTTAAAAAATATACTAAAAATATAGAGTGGATTCATTGACATGGGAGCCACCAACTATCACTGGGATGTATTATCGAAGACTTTCATGGCCAGAATCACTGGGTTGGTGTAGGTTTTTCGGGCAGTATGGCCATGACCTCACAACCTCAGAGGATGTCTGCCATAGATGCAGGCGAAAAGTCAGGAGATAATGCTTCTAGAACATGGCCATACAGCCCGAAAAACCTACAACCTTCACTGGAATCATTCCTGGTTAACTCAGCATTAGGTTCATCCCCATTTCTATTTAAAGTAGATGTATCTCATCTCAAGTAGTGATTTCATTAAGGAAATACCTTATAGTTTTAGAAGGAATAATCAGGGATACCTTGACATTCCACAGATCAGATAATTCTGTTAAATGCTTATAGATAGAATCATAAGAGTTGGAAGAGACCTCATGGGTCATCCAGTCCAACTCCCTGCCAAGAAGCAGGAATATTGCATTCTAAGCACCCCTGACAGATGGCCATCTAGCCTCTGTTTAAAAACCTCCAAAGAAGGAGCCTCCACCACACTCCGGAGCAGAGAGTTCCACTGCTGAACAGCTCTCACAGTCAGGAAGTTCTTCCTAATGTTCGGATGGAATCTCCTTTCTTGTAGTTTGAAGCCATTGTTCCGCGTCCTAGTCTCCAGGGAAGCAGAAAACAAGCTTGCTCCTCCTCCCTGTGACTTCCTCTCACATATTTATACATGACTATCATATCTCCTCTCAGCCTTCTCTTCTTCAGGCTAAACATGCCCAGCTCTTTAAGCCGCTCCTCATAGGGCTTGTTCTCCAGACCCTTGATCATTTTAGTTGCCCTCCTCTGGACACATTCCAGCTTGTCAACATCTCCTTCAATTGTGGTGCCCAGAATTGGACACAATATTCCAGGTGTGGTCTAACCAAGGCAGAATAGAGGGGTAGCATGACTTCCCTAGATCTAGACACTATGCTCCTATTGATGCAGGCCAAAATCCCATTGGCTTTTTTTGCCGCCACATCACATTGTTGGCTCATGTTTAACTTGTCCACGAGGACTCCAGGATCTTTTTCACACATACTGCTCTCGAGCCAGGCGTCCCCCATGATGAAAGTCAGTCAGTGTTTGGGAAATCACAACATTTTGGGTGTGCAGAAAATATTTTATACTCTAAATTTGGATCACCATTTATTTTTCCACAGAAGGCACCTGAGTCTCTGTGGAGATTTTGCCCTCTTTTTAACTGCTTTGGAGGCATTCTCATTTTCCTGACTTGTTCAGACAAAACCAGATATCATTGCCTGCGGATGTTTTCTCTTCACGCTTGAAGTTTATATCCGTTTGAGCTTAAATCAGGCTATAATGCAAATGTAAAACATACGGTGGCTAGGAGGTATATATTCAGTTTCTGTTCTATATTTACATCATTTTTACTTGGCAAACTAGGTCCAAAGAGGCTCAAATCTATCTTTTAGTGCCAAGTGTGAAAACGCCTTAAGAAACAGGAGACAAAGAAAATGAATGGTATATCCACAGTAAATGAAGAGAATTGTGTGTCTTATTCACAAGTATCCTAAATAACATTTACTATCGACCCTGATATCTTTACAGTATTGTTGCAAGAAGTGTTATTGTAAATTACATTTACAGGGTTTAGTATATATAGAGAGATGTTGGTGCTGAAAACTTAGTCTTTTTCAAAAGGACTGTGATAGATTGCTACATGCATACTAGGTGGAATACATTATTATGAAAAGATTTCTATGCAAGGGTTACTAAGGGAAACTCTGCCCCATAAATCAGAACTGGGCAGACCTTCAGATGTTATTCAGCCAACATTTGAATGTTGATTGTGCTGGAGACAACTGATGGGAACTGCAATCCAACAATATCAGGAAACAGACCAGATCCTCACTAACAATAGGCACATAAGACTGAGCTCCTGGAATCACATTAATGCTTTTCCTTATTTAAGAAATGATATTCCATGTGGGGGAAATGGCTGTACACTAGCCTTCATCTCACGCTTAATTTTTTTCCCTTAATTTTTGGGGAGACATTTGAAATAGCAAAAAAAAAAAGAAGTAGAAAATGTAGGGTGTGAAGTAGAGCAGAGCCACAGTAATAAACACAGTCTCCCAATTACTTAAAGAACCTTCCAGAGCTTCCTGTGAAATTTAAATGCTGGACAAAACTGCAATAGTGCTCTACACAGTTCATTGGCCAATTGTTTGTAGCCTGTTACAACAAGAAGTGGTGAATAAGATGTTTTTTTTTGGGTGGTGTCAGGGGGAGGGTACCATAAGTAGCTAAAAAGAAATATATGGTCAGAGGGGTGTTTGTAAAAAGCCAGAAAATGGAGAAAAGCACCTCAGATGAGAGTGAAAGCTGAAATAAAGGGCAAGAGGAGGATCTCAAGGATGAGGAGTGATTTAATGAGAAGGGGGAGGTTGGAAAGAACCAGAGAGAGGTTGAGGGGGCACATTTTAACAAGGACGTTCACAACCCTGGCAGCACTACCGACAAGAATTATGTTCATTAACATTTTCTAAAGTCATGTGATTCAGAATTAATACTTCACAATATCCTATTTTAAGTTTGCACTGATCTCTGTAATACGCTATACAACAACCTTCCATAGTTCAACACACAGAAGTTCCAATCATAAACTATGTTTTCCACATGAATGCTTCCCTGAAGACCACAGTGAATACATCAATAGTAAAGATTCTGAATGTTTGAACTGGTCCTATATTATTTATTTTAAATGTTATTAACCTTCTTGCCATCCTTCTTGGACTATGGATTGCGATAACCATTGTGTGAATCAGTTGCAGGCGTTGATGCGTTTTTGATATTAGCAGCTGAGTGTAACAAAGTCCACAGGCTCAATGCACTAAAACTATCTTTCTCTTTCTCTCTTTTTCTTCATAGCAATTGAAACTCAGAGCACCAGTTCTGAGGAGCTTGTTCCCAGCCCACCTTCCCCGCTTCCTCCCCCTCGCGTTTACAAGCCCTGTTTTGTTTGTCAGGACAAATCTTCCGGATACCACTATGGCGTCAGTGCTTGTGAGGGATGTAAGGTGAGTGTTCAAATCTGTCTGATAAATTTCACATTTCTTCACAGCAATGAATTATAGTAATAGGATTACACTCAAATTACATTCCTTCTGATGTGACCAGGGCGATTATGGGAAAGGAGTGAAACCAAAATGAATTATGTACATCCAGCATTTTAGCATGTTGCTTTAATAATACCCACGTTAACAAAGGATTATTCGTTTTCTCATGGACAATCTGATTCTTCAAGAAGGCACAGAAGTATAAGGACTAGAGTTGCAAGGATAAAATGGGTAGTAAGAGATTTTGTGAGCAATAAGAGATTTAGTGAGCAATTTTGCACATTTGTTTGGATTCCTCCACAGATAAGTATATTGTGGATTCAGAATTGATGAGTGAAAGGATATTGTGAATTGAAAAATATACATAAATGACGATTTAGAAATAATTAATTAGTAATTCACGTACACAGCATCAGTGCCTTAACCATTGTACCTGATTGGTACCACTTCAATCAAAGAGTCAACTTCACTCTTTTTGCAGTGCAACTGTATTAAATCTCTTGTATAGAAATGGAAATGCTAAATGATGGAGAAAAAAATATTGTATGGTTCAAGTAGTGATGTTGTACCTTTGCGCTGTTGACTCCATTGGCACAACAATGGACTGGACAGAAAATGAGTTTTGTATGACAGGTCAACATTTTGCAACATTCTGTTGTGTCTTTCACTTTGGATAAACATGAAGCCAAGGAGTTGTGATTTTTTTAATCAGCTACATTCTCAGGAGAACAGTAATAACTAACCAATTGCTTTTTGGAAAATAACTGTGCAAGCTCTGTGAGATGTGTAGATTTACAGAGAGGATACATTGTAGCTTGTAGAGGAAGTAGATATGGTTGTACAAATATTGGTTTATTGCATATGTATACAATATGGTATACATTAACTTTTTTCTATGTAGTCATTTTACACATATATATGAGCTTGTGGAAGCATTTCACACTCAGTACTAGCCAAGCTGAAAAGGGAAAGGGGAGAACAGCGGTATATAAGCAAAGTAAATAAATAAAATAAATCAAGGTAGACTTTTTGGGTTCACATGCAATGGTAAGTTAGGCTTTGATTTCATTCTGTAGTTTCTTGCCGTGTCTGTAAACAATAATTCTGCTTTATTATCCAGTCTTCCTTCCCTCTAACAAATTATGGTTTGATAGTCGAATTCAACTACAAATAGAAGCATTAGTTTATATGCCATCACATATCATGGTTTGGTATGATATCTGAACTAGATGCTTTGGATTAAGGCAAGAGAAAAAGTGATGAACCCAGACACTGTTCCTTACTCTGAACGTTGGTTGGAAAAGTGGAAAGAAAATTTTCTTCCCACCATTGTTAACCTCCATTATAATACCGTTATTTTTATGTCTCCGTCTGTGCTTAGCAAAAACTGAGTGAGGATATATATTCATAATTTAGTTCTTACTAGCTCTTGCCAGTGTTCTAATTTTGTAACACCTTGCTCTGTCCCTTAAGGCTTTTGCTTCTATGTGACTTATTGTGAATCACTCAGAGAAGCTATGTTGGATTGTTCCAGACTCAGTATTGTAATTATGCAAAGCCACAGGCTGCTTTAGTTTTTAATTTGCGTTTTACACAGAATTTGACAGGGCACATTAATAAAAGTGCAACTTCAAGTGTTGTGCCAGCTGGAAAAGAAACACTTAAAAGTGATAATGGCAAACAGAGTGGCTCAAAATGGATGAGGTAAAATTCTATCCTAAAAGTCACCCAGCTAAACATTATACTTTTTTATTTTCAAATCTGGCATTGGACCTGTGCTATCAGGTATTGTCAATAGAAAATCTAGATTTAGGTTACTAACTTCCCAGTAACCCTGCTGATGTCAAATTGTGTCTTTATACGAGCATGTGTGATTCTATGTTATTGTGCTTACATCACCTTTTGAAGTGTATGTTGACTCCAAATTTCTTGTGAAAGTTGACCTTGAAATTGACTAGAGTCTTGGGGTCTCTGATGCTTGTGTCAGGGACAGAAACCAGGAACAGATTAAAAAGCCTTGGGAACACGTTTTTAATGATTTTATTGATTCTGTTATGGTTTTATTATTCGATTGTTTTATTATATTGAAATTGTATTTTATGGTCTTGGTACCAACTGTAAATCGTCCCGAGTCGCCTGCGGGCTGAGAGGGGTGGTATATAAATATAGTAAATAAATAAATAAATAAATAGCATAACAAGGAGAGAAGTTCAGAGAAAGCTTACAATAGGCCCAGCTTCAAGTCAAGAGGCTTCTTTCCTGCTGCCTAGATATTTCAGGACCTCTGTGGAGGCAGATGAACCAAACCCGGAAACGTTATTAAGCCCTATCCTTACAGTAGGTAAAGCCAGATGTGATTCCAGATCCTCAGGAAGCAATTTGTCAGAGGAAACATGGGTGATCAGTCTGTGGTCTGACCGGCTACCTTATTCCTATGAAGGTAGAGAAGGAGTCCCAGAACCTTGGGTAATTGTCTTGAGCCCAAGTGGGTTCAATTTTGTCCCAACTACCTAGCTGCTACTAGCTCACTTCTTAAGGGCAAAACTTATAGCTTGACCCAGACCTTCTATAAGAGTAAGTTTTTATTTGACTCAAGAGACCGGTTACACAACCTTATACAACCAAATCCCAACATTGGGTTACCTGAACCAGAGGGCTCCAGGGAGTGGACTGTTGTCAGAAGCAGGAACATAGTCTGGAGGCAATCATGGAATTTTTAAGCCAGGTCTTATAAACGCTTGCCCGACAAAATGGCTGACCACAGAGCTTGCTTCTGGTATTTGAAAAAAGAAGGCCATGTCTTCTTTTTGGGCACAGACTGAGAGACAACAGTCCTCAATTTGAGCTGGCATCCCCAGGGACTGAGTCACAGCATGTATTACAGTGGAAGTGGAAGTACAGTTTGCTCTCTATCCACAGAGTCTGCATCTATTGGTTCAACCACTCACAGCTGTAATGTTTTCCCCCAAAACAAACCTCAAATTAAGCATTTTATGGAAGAAACACCATTTTACCATGCTATTGCATATAATGAGACTTGAATATCAGTGGATGTTGTTACTCATAGAAGGTCTTGGAACCAAACCCCAGCAGATACTAAAGGCCTCTGTAGACTCCAGAGTTTACTTGTAGCTTCCAAAGATTAATAGAAGGCATTGACAGACTGCTGGTAGAGTGATTTGTCGTGTTAGAATGCAATTACAGTGTGCAGTAATGTTTTAGAACCAGTTGTTTGCTGTGGTGTGATCTAAAGGGATCTAAAGGGATCTAAAGTTCTGCTCACCCCCAGCCCCAGTTCCTTGTACATATGATTGGATTGCCTCTTGCTTTTTACTTCTGTATTGGTGATAGAATGGTATCTTCTACCATATCTGAAGATTGCCACTGTTCTGCCCATCACGATGTTTGCAGACTAAAGCTATTCCATGCTTAGTTGTGCTTAGTTTATCTGTCCGTAGATACTAAAGTGTCCAGTAGTGCAGTCCTCTGTACATATACTTAGAGGCAAATTGAGTTCAACAAAATCGATTTCCAGGTAAATGTGCATCAGATTGCAACTTGAAAATGCTACTGCTACATTCCTCCTCCATCCCATTTCAAATGCAGGAAGCAGGTAAACTAAATCCCTCCACAATTTTTATTCAGGACTACCTCTCATACTCTGTAGCAATGCAAAGAGACACATGCATGTTTTTCAGGCACCAAATGCCTGAAGAGTTAATTTCCATTTTTTACAGACCTCCAGGAGCAGCAATTTAGCAAGAAATGTTCCCCAACTCTCGGAAGACCTTAAATTCATAAATGGGAATTCTAATTGTGATGTTCAACTCCTGTTCAGCCGGTTTGGGGGTCATGCAGTTCACTGTGGGTCTGAAAGGGTGAATGTTAGCCCCCATTTGCAATAGTTAAGCAGCCTAGCTGAAATTTATCAGTGATCTCCTTTGACCTCTTCACATTTTATTTCATTCTACCAGTCCTTCTACATATGTTGCCTTACTTCCATTTATATTCATTTCTTTACCTCCTTTCTTCTTTATTCGAAACACTGACTATAAGTGGAAAATTCTGTAGCATTGCTGTGTTTATAGTATATTTCACAATACATTTTCCCCCCTTCCCAGTTAAATGCTCTAACACACTGCTAGATTATATGCAGTAGAATTTTTTTCTGCCTGCTGACTGACTAGCCAGTTTAAAAGCTGGAAATGTAGAGTCTGCCTTGGCTTTGATTTCTGTAGAGGATTCTATTATCTTTTCCCCCTTCCTTACAGCTTTGCTATTTCATTGACATTCACTTGTAATAATTCTTAGGACCTAGTAGTCAGATGCCTAGAGAAGTCAATTGAAACACTCTCATTGACTTCAGATAAGGGTATGAGCTGCTTCTTCCTTTTTATCACTACCCAAATCCTCCTTAGCTCAGTCTCTTCGCAAAATCACTTGTCAGCAAATTGGCCATCTCTCATCTTGATTAACCTAACCTCTTATGTATCTTTACCCCTCTCCTAGATCTTGTTGTCTTGCAGTTGTCCCTTAGAGATGAGGATTTCCTTCTCTCCTATTCTGCCAAATACATTTGCCTTCAGCCTCCTTTTACCCCTATCTTTCCCAGCAGCCATTCTTCATCATCTATTCTCTCCTACCCATTGTCATCTGATTAGATGATTAGAAAATAAATGATGGTGTATATCACTCCTAAAACTGTCTTCATGTTAGGATTCTCAGCAGGGCCAGTCCTATGGTCGCTCTATTGTTTAAGCATCTGGGTTTATTAACAAAATAAAGGATAGTACATTAAAAAAAACAAACCATGTCCATATAGTGTTGAGAAGAATATTAGCATTTGCCAAGCATAATATCTTCTGGCCAGATAAGATGCGTTTCAAGAGCTGTTTTCCTCTGATCTGTTTCAAAAAAAATTGCAAGTCTCAGCAGTTGTAAAGTTGTTATTTAAAAAACCC